AGTACCTACCATTAAAATGGCTGCGTACGAAATTTCAAGTTCAAGCGACTTATAGCTCCGGAGTTATAGCTGATAAAACATTCCAAGTCCATGGGACGTGCCGCTCCCCCTTTTACAAACTCACTTATATATAGCCCACTATAAGCATCTACTATAGATACGTCTGTGTACCAATTCAATTTCAATTTCACGTGACATATGATTCCGAATTTTCCACGCCTATGGCATGTTCCACTCAGTTATATATGCCTTACTTAAAGCGCCTACCGTAGATACGCCCGCACACCAAATTTCAAGTTCTTGGGACTTATGGTTCCCAAGTTTTAGCTGATAAAAGGGTTCACGCCTATGGGATGTGCCACGCCCCTTTTTACAAACTCATGTATATATAGCCTACTGTTAGCACCTACCGCAGATATGTCTGCATACCTAATTTCAATTTCATGTGACTGATGGTTGTGAAATTATAGCTGATAAAAATTTCCACGCCTATGGGATGTTCCACACCCCTTTTTACAACCCCTTTATATATACTGTACTGTAAGCACCTACCATAGTTATGTCTGCATACCAAATTTCAAGTCCATGTGGCTTATAGTTCCGGANTTTTTACAAACTCATGTATATATAGCCTACTGTTAGCACCTACCGCAGATATGTCTGCATACCTAATTTCAATTTCATGTGACTGATGGTGGTGAAATTATAGCTGATAAAAATTTCCACGCCTATGGGATGTTCCACACCCCTTTTTACAAACCCCTTTATATATACTGTACTGTAAGCACCTACCATAGTTATGTCTGCATACCAAATTTCAAGTCCATGTGGCTTATAGTTCCGGAGTTATAGCTGATAAAATATTCCTATGGGATGTGCCACGCCCACTTTTACAACCTCATTCATATATACCCTACTATAAGCACCTACCATATGTATGACTGAATAACAAATTGCAAGTTCATATGACTTATAGTTTCGGATTTATAGCTGATAAAATATTACACGCCTATTGGATGTGCCACGGCCACTTCCACAAACTCATTTATTTATACCATACTATAAGCACCTACCATATATATGACTATATGCCAAATTTCAAGTTCATGTGACTTGTGGTTCCTNTCATTTATTTATACCATACTATAAGCACCTACCATATATATGACTATATGCCAAATTTCAAGTTCATGTGACTTATGGTTCCGAAGTTATGATTGATAATAAATTTCACGCCTATGGGATGTGCCACGCCCACTTTTAAAAAGTCATTTATATATACTCTACTGTAAGCACCTACCATATATATGACAGCATACCAAATTTCAAGTGTATGTGACTTATAGTTTCGAAGTTATGGCACGCCTATGAGAGGTGCCACGCCCCCTTGTCGAATCCCAATTTTTTACCCTATTATAGGCCCAGGTGTTATGGTAATACTCTGTCAAAATTTCGTACGATTCTGTCCGTCCATTTAGGCTGCAACCTGGCACATACATACATACATACAGACTTCCACAAATATATAGTAGGTATATCCTTCTCTTAGTGTAAAATAATTTTTGGGGATGTCTCGGCCACAGGGCCACCTATCGTGTAAGTTTCAAGTCCAAATATT